GTCATACGTACTGTAACGGGATCGCGGTCCCCAAAGCTTCTCTCTAAAGAACGACACTGGCCTACCGTCTTGCCCAAGAACAACCCCAATTCCCACCTTCGAAGCGTCGCAAGAAAGCTCAAACGTCTTCGAAAAATATGGTAAGATGAGCACTGGAGCTGAAGTCAACTTGCTTTTGATGAGAGCGAAAGCATCCTCGGCTGCTGGGGTCCACACAAACGATTTCCCCGTCAAGCAATCGGTAATGGGAGCCGTAATCGTGCTAAAGTGTGAAATGAAACGTCGGTAAAAGGACGCAAGGCCATGAAAACTCCGGGCCTCTGTGAAAGTCGTCGGAGATGGCCAATCACGAATGGCGGCCACCTTACCCTCATCCACTCGAATGCCCTCGGCCGAGATGACAAACCCCAAAAACAACACCGAATCAACCAAGAAAAAGCACTTACGAGGAGCAGCAAAAAAGGACTCAGCACGCAGAACAAGAAGGACCTCCCGGACATGCTGTAGGTGCTCACCCATCATCCGGCGGTAAATAAGAATATCGTCGAAATAAACGACGACACTCTTGCCGATAAAGTCACGTAAGCCCTGGTTCATCACCCTCATAAATGTACTCGAGGCATTGGATAACCCGAAAGGTATCACCATCCACTCAAAGAGCCCCTCGCGTATCTTGAACGCCGTCTTCCACTCGTCACCTGGCCGGATCCTAATCTGATGATACCCGCTCCGAAGATCCAGCTTCGTGAAAATAGTGGCACCATGTAGCTGATCCAAGAGGTCATCCAACCGAGGTATGGGAAAGCAGTACCGGACAGTGATCTTGTTGATGGCACGACTGTCAACACACATACGCCACGAAGTGTCTTTCTTCGGTATCAAACGTGCTGGCACAGCACACGGGCTCAAGCTGCGCTGTACAACCCCACGCTGAAGGAGCTCCTCCACCTGACGTTGCAACTCCTCATGTTCTGATGGACTCATCCGGTAGTGAGGTCTATTCGGCAAAGACGCCCCAGGCACCAAGTCGATGTGATGCTGAATGTCCAGAAGTGGTGGTAAGCCCGAAGGAATGTCCTCGGGAAACACATCTGCAAACTCAAACAAAAGCGGCCTGATCGCCGAAGGGAGTGGCCGCTCGTCACTCTGGTCCACTCCAACCAATAAGAAACACCAAGTGACACCCGGAGTTCAGCAAGAAAAGCCACATGTGAAAGAATAAGTACTGGTGACGTGGGACTCGAAGTCGGTGCGCACCCGTGCCCGGCGTATGGTGTCGGACCCATGGTAGTAAGTCCTGTCGTTTCCCTCGGTCGAACACGAAGGTTGAATGCCTCACTCCCATGGTATCACCCCCTTGAAAGTCATGGAAACACATATATGCAGCAGTCACACACATAATTTTGAAGTCACCGTGGGAACCAACACACAACATCTGTTTGCAAGGTCACAACAAATTCACGTAGGAGAAAAGCTCGGGCCTGCGCAATAGAATAACTACCAATCGAACACCAAATTCTTCCAACAGCTGAATTTTGATGCCCGAAACATGATTGAATTCCTCCGGCCCCGAAGGCTCCTTATCGAAAATCGGAGGACCGTCGTAGAGACTGTCCACTTCACCGGTAAGACGCTCCTTCACCTCCTCAGGTTCTTCATCAAACACTGGTGGACCATCGTACAATGGCCCGTCAACTTGCTCTTCGTCGAATTCTGGGATGTCAACGCGAAACGGGCCCTCCCATTGACCACATTCGCGATCAAGTCCCCAATCGTGTCTGACACGATATCTGCCAGCGAAGGCTGCCTCCTCGCGCCAGCCCCTATCGCTGCGTTGATCGTCGCCGTGCACGAAGACCGGGCCCCGTCGCCACATGTCACGGCCGCCGTATGCAGCGAAGCGGTCAGCCTCGACATGCAGAGGTTGCCACTCGCCGAAGGGATTCACCTCCGAGATGGTATCCTCACCGTCTTCATCGCCGGATGGTGGTTGTGGAGATCTCCGGCGGGGCACCCCGCCTGGACCACGGCCTCCACGTCCTCCGTGAACTCCTCCGTGCACGCCCCGGTTGCCGACGTCACAATTCGTTTGCAAACCCTCAACAAAGTTGTTGATCATAAGATGCACTTCTTTGATCCCCATCGAAAGATCTTCAACCCGACGTTCCAATTGATTGATCTGGCGGCTGAAGCCCATGGCTCGTCGACCCAGATACTCAATGGTGGAGCTACGCCCGTCGATGTCGTCCTTCCACGGCGGCATCTTGAATCGTGCTGACTTCTGATACCAACTGATGTAGAGCGTAGTACGAATTGGGAAGAATATGAAATACTCTCTCGTGAAATAGAACGATCAGTTTTTCAATTCATCAAAATCTATCCTTTCGTTCGTCCAATACAACATAAATAATAAAGGAGATACCTAGACTTGCCAAAACACTTGCAAGCTAATTATTATCCTACCATAATTATTAAAATTACTAAAAGAAATAAACTAGAAAAGCAATAATAATAATAAGAGATAAAATAGATTAAACCCGGAGCAGGTCGTATTTATTCAAAAATGCAATGGCGGTCTCGTATTATTATTATTATTATTATTATTATTATTATTATTATTATTATTATTATTATTATTATTATTATTATTATTATTATTATTATTTAATGGCTTGGTGGACAAGTTAATGTTTAGGGTTAGGGGCCTTATATAAAGGACTTCCTCTAGTTTATTTTCTTTGGTTGTTTATGAATAAAATATCAATTGATATTGTGAGTTTTGCGTGTTTTACGAGGGAGTATCTCGTTTACTCGTTTTGTCCTTCCCATTCGTATGCCTTTCCTACATCAAGCTGTGCCAGGGCACACCTAATTATTTGCGTATTGGCACAACCCATAACCTCCAACATCCAATGAAAAACTACCAAGTGTCATTTTATATTTTTTAAAATATATGAGTTGCTATGAACAAACCCTTTTACACTATTACCACTATAGATAAATTCTAATTAAAAATACTATTAAAAATAACTTTAGGCATATAATTCATACAAAATATAAATAAATAAATAAATAAATAAAATAAATTTATTAATATAAATTTCTTAAAAAAATCATGAGTAAACCACAAAGAGTCTCAGAACAAATAGGAATACTTGTAGAAATAACTATAAAAAAAAAAACTCAATTAGAAACATCAGAAATATTAGAAGAAATAAAATAGTCAATAGAAGAATTACGAGATTTTGTACAAAATGAAAAAATACGAAAAAGATTATTTAAATCAATCCAAATAGAACCGCCAACAAGTTCTAATGGATGACATGGATAGATTAACCCAGTTATTAGAAAAATATAATATTGAAGAACGTAGAATGACAAAAATAGATGACGAAGATAAAAAAGGAATAATCTATGGAATTGATAATGAAGATGAAGATAAACCCACATTTAATTTGACAGATCAAAGACCTCATATAACACCACCATTATCCCAAAAATGATCGAGAACAAATAATAATAAAGCATCTAGTTCACATAATAGTTACGTAGAAAGTAGTTTTAGAGATTTTATATACAGAAATTGATTATAGTTATCATCAAGAAAAAAAAATGAAAAAGCATATACCACCAGCATATCTAGAAAAAGAAAGAAATAAATCCAATGGAATATTAAATATAGATTGTGCAACCAATGCAGAAGATTTAATAGTCACTTGGACTAATCAATTAAAATTACTAGTTGAAACTAATGATTCAATGATAAATGAAATGACGTTAACAGATTTTCTTAATTATATAAGATACAAAACATCCGAAGTATTATTTGACTATCTAGAAAATACTCGAATTTTATTAAATTTTAAAGCAACTGATTTAGAAACATGAGCAGAATATAAAATAATAGCATTAAAAGAATTAGGAAAAGATCTATTAAGAAAATTTTTAGGAATTACAGGACAAGAATCAAAGGAAATACAAAAAGATAAGGTAGTTAGATTTCTAACAAACATGAAGTTATGCAATGTATGCTACATAGAAATTTTTTTTGTCAAGTGAGAGAAAATTTCTATAAAATTAAGGATCGGTCAGAACTAATAGAATTAGTTGAAAGTAAACTTAAACATGAAGTGGATAAATAAATTCAGAAGAAAATCAGTGAAACAAGAGAAGGAAAAACTCTAGGAATGTTAGAAAAATATACGAAAGAATATATAGATGAACATTGTATAAGAAAATTAGAACACCATGAAATGACTAAATTCGATTCAAGATGTTGTAAACAATTAGAAAGTGTACCACAAGAATTTTGTTGTTATGAACCAAATTGAACGAAAAGATATTATAAATACAATAAGTTTAATAGACGATATAGACCAAGAAGCTATAAGGCATTTAGAAAACCGTGGAAGCCAAAATATAAAGGGAAGTTTAGAAAACAAGGAAAATACTTAGGAAACCCAAATATTGTCCTAAAGGAAGAAAGAATTGCATGTGATAGAAATGTCAAGAAATAAGACACTGCAAATGAATGTCCTAAACACATGTCAGAAAAAAAAGAAGTTAAAAATAATA